CTCCAGTTGACTCCATTTTATCGTACTGACCTTGGTGGTCCTTTCGAGGGATGACCATAAATATTTTTTTAAGCCAGCTAATCTCGGCTTTCAGTCACTACATACCAGATAGTTCTTAGAATAACTTCATGAATTCTGTGGTCACCCCTACGTCTTATGCCGCCAAAATGGATGGAAAATGAAATGCAGAAGCACCAACACTTGTTATGATAACATAAAGGTTGAATTTACTGCAGCTAATCTGGCTAGCGATATGACTCATGGAGAGACATTAATTCTTGTATTCTCCCCACGGGGAAGAATGCAAGGCCTCACAGAAGATGTTTGGTTTACGGAAAAGAGAGCCAAATGAGAGATACGCAGTACTGGTGTGGTGAAGTGAGACAGCGCTGTGTATAGTAGAATGCTTCAATACGTACCATACTCTGTTGACGAGATACAGGGCGCTCATATTATAAGGCAAGGTTATAAAACCATCTTTTAAGATCATTTTAGTGAAAGTTTCATGCTTCAAAGCGTACCATTCATGCTCAAATTCTAAACAAACTGCTTCCATTGCCGAGATACCGGCTGCTCATATTATAAGGTAAGGTTATAAAACCACCTTTTTAGATCATTTTAGTGAAAGTTTCATGTTCCTATCTCATAGAATTTAAGAACAATGATGAATAAATCATTTTCGAGAACGAACAATGGGTCGGAATTTTCGAAGGATTTGTGTCAGTGGATGGTATCTTCGAATATTCCATTAGAGAAATTGCATAATCAGCACTTCAGACAATTTTTGGAGACATACACTAGTAATCCTATCCCAAGTGAATCCACGTTGAGAAAGAATTATCTCTCTACATGTTATGAAGATATGTCAAATAAGATTCGAACATCTGTTACTGACAACAAGATATGGGTTTCCTTGGACGAGACTTCTGACGTAGATGGGCGGTATATTGCGAATGTTATAGTTGGGACCCTGAAACAAGATCAACCTGGAGAGAGATTTCTTCTTGACTGTGAAGTTCTCGAAAGAGCAAATCATTCGATTATAGCTGTCCTATTTGATAATTCCATGAAGTTGTTGTGGCCAAATGGAATACAGCGAAATAATGTCCTTCTCCTAGTAACAGATGCCGCTCGATACATGGAGGAGGCTGCCAAAGGACTTCGAATCCTCTACCTGAAAATGGTCCATATTACTTGCCTCGCTCATGCATTGCATAGAGTGGCTGAAGAAGTTCGAGGACATTTTCCTGATGTAGATAGGCTAGTTTCAAATGGAAAGAAAATATTCATCAAGGCCCCTCTTCGAGTGC